TCACGCATTCGTGTTACCTGTACAATAAACCGGATTCAGCCTATTCATTGGCACTTCTGGGTAACCCTATTTCAAACTTGTCCGCCAATGCGAGACGTATGGAAGTGTAATTCACAAGTTGGAATCAGTTAGTTAGTAAATGAGTCAGTTAGGTGCATAATTGTCAAACTACTAGGTGGCCCCTCTGGGACGAGTAAAATGCTGACAATGTGCAATAAAAATATTGAATGCTCTAATGATATTATTGGCAGTGTTTACAACTTTTTTTTTTTTTTTACGAATGTTGTCCTTAAGTAGGCATCAACATTGAACTCTTAAAACGCCATAATTGTATTCGCTGAATGCTAACCATTATTATTTAAAGGTGTTATTCCCCGTTTTATTAGTATTTTGTTTTCAATTGCTGCAGGTTGGTCTATGTAGAAATAGCCAGATGGCAGTTCCCTTTACAGTCTGTTGCAGCCCCGACATAAATTAAAGACTGCTGATATAACACAGTATCGTAAATACGGACCCTTGGACCCGTATACTGGGCGTATGTCTATGTGTATGTCTTTTGTATACATTACCATATTGATGTATACATTACCATTGATGCTCCACGTAGCCATTTTCATTTAGGGTTATGAACGAAATTGGTTATAAACGAAATTCTAACTTTTACAGTTACCAGGACAAAGATCAATTTGAAGGTGTGAGGTCAACCTCAGATAGTGTTGTGAGATACTCTCGAACATCGTATAAAAACTGGTAAGTGCCTGACTGCTGCCCCCCCCCTCCAATTCATTTCACACTGACTATATATCCCGTGTAGTAATAATGATCTTCAACATATGTTATGTTCACAATGTGCCTCTATGTTCTTTCCTAGCTCTATGTTTTTGCATATCTAGCTATGGCTATAAAAATCCTGATGAAAATGTTAAGGGTACCTGTACATACGTTCGAGGATGTATATTGAAATAAAATGGGCATGAAGTATGAAAACGTAAACCAAGCGAAGGCAACAAAGGGAATTCTCTTAAACCAGTTCATGTTTTAATCAATGATGCATTTGGTGTTCCATTCCTTCTATAGGTCTGCTTGCGAACGAGCGTATGGACTCCGTGGACATGTTTGTTTCGCTCTTCTTCCTCATATTTGGGCTGTGTACTGTTGAGAGTAAAACATGCCCAGCCAGTTATGGTAAATGAATATTGTTTATTATTTTAGTCTCGATATTACATCGAAATAAAACAAACAATATACATCCACAGTCTTGTAACTACCGGGTCCGACAGCACAAAACATTTTGTCAAATGTACGTACATAATAAACTGTGATGGAATAAGGTAACCCTGTTAATTCGCCAGTGACAGTCAGACGGCGCGAACATTAATCAAGTCTTAAGCAAGTCTTAAGTTGTGATTCAGTGAGTCTGTTTCTGCATTCAATAGGGGACGTTGAACAATGGAGGACAATGGGGTCCCCAATTCCCAAAGGTCCCCAATTTCCAATCGCAAACGTTTAAAACATATGGGAGGTCTTCCTTAAAAGTTGAAGTTTAAACACAGAAGAACAATAGGGGGTCCCCGATTGCAGGCAAATACACATGCACGTGCTGCATTGTGTCTGTGTGTCAGTCAGGCACAAAGATATCTTCAGGCTGGCCCCATTAAACATTACGCCACCACGATATTTTTTCGATCATTCATAATGCATGTAGGCTTTAACCTAGAAGGCCATCAATTGTCTAACATTTCAAAAAGAAAAGATACTTCTTAAACACATTACTTCCATCTTGCTGCATTCCCAGTCACTACCACGTGCACCTACATGTGCTTTGGTATGTACCACAAATGACCTGTATAGTGTTCTTTGTCTTTGCCATTCCTAATGCAAAGGCATTTCTAAAATGTCCCATCCTCTATTCTTCAAGGTCCATCGTTGATTGCGTGTACATAAGTACATGCATTTCACACTTGAAACTGTCCTGGATTTATATTTTGCCTTGCAGGATCTCTTAAATTACGACCATTGTCATTTCACAGAAACAAAGGTCCAAGATGTCTTCTTTGATGCCAACAATCGAGGGAACTTCCACCTCGGCTTGTGGCACCGCATTCCCTGTCGATCCTATCGTTCCGGGGAGAACCTGCTCGCAGTGTACTGGTTCCGGGGACAAAGCGTTCCCGATCCCAACAAAGTAGTCGTTAACGGTTACGCCAACAACCATTACTTTCCAATCAGCGATCGATACACATTTTCGTCAGAGTTTAGTCTCGTCGTCAAAGATGTCATAGAGGGCGATGCAGGGAGATACATTTGTCTGGTTGTGCCTCGTTCTGCGAGCGCGAGGGTTGACAAGACGGATATGCAGGTCATCGGTAAGAAATAAATGAACGTCTAGTCTGTTAGTAAATAAATCACGAAATACACAGACAGTTTTCATTAATAGTAAGTGTTTGGCTGCATACACCATGTGATAAAAAAATACATATGTGTTGCTCCGGGGAGAACTTAGCATAGTTCCCTGATTTTGACAATTCCCCGACGCCCTGACGTCTATATTGTATGTCAGGTAAACACCACCGGGCTAAACATAAACACGATGGCATTTTTTTTCAAAGCTTGGTATCACTTATTAAATGCAAATTCAGCTGTTGAAAAAATGGTGTGGGTCACATTTGGTCATGATACTGTCCTTTACTGAAAAACAAACAAACAGTGGAGCATCAAAAAAGCAAACCCTTAAACGTCTTCTGACTCTTTATGCTGAAACATAATGTATAACTACTGCCTTTATAGCTACTAGCCTTTATAAAAAAACCGTTATAGTTTTGCTCAAGAATGTGGACATTTGCATTAGCATAAAAAACTCAAACATCTTTAAAATGGTAATGTAAAGTTTACAACGACACTTAAATGGAAGACACAGATTTAAACAATATCTCAGTCTGTGCATCGGCTTTATTAATTTATCATCGGGTCAGCTGTCTGCACCATATAGCCCTCTGCACTCACAAGCTACGTTCAGATCAATCCAATCTGCATTTTCATTCAGACATTAGCCCCCCCCCAAAAAAAAATCAATCAATAAATAAAAAACATAGATAAATACATAAAATGGGGTTAGGAAAAAGAAGAAAGAATTAAAAGCATGTACGTGATTACAGGATTGAAAAAATAGGAGATGAGGCAAAAACATAAAACAGACAGTCATCATAAGCCTAAGCAATGGGTCAATGTTGTGGTTATGTTGAATTGTCATGCGCTCAATGAAGATTCTCTTTTTCTCTCGCCCGTTGGCTGATTACATGTACGATGAGGGCCGCTTGATTACTACTGTGCTTTCATAGAATACGATTTATTCGTACCAATACTCCCCTTGTACATAACAGTCAACTGTCAGATGCTTTCAATTCTTTGACGTGATTACAGGTGACACCTTTCCAGCCTGCACCACTGACGCATCATCGAATGCTACTTTCCAGCGAGGACGCAGACAGACGCTACCGTGTGAGTGTGCGTCACAGGTGCCAGATGCGCACATATCCGTAGTGTATTGGTCAACAGGAAAGGGCGTCACCATAGAGACACAGATCATTGGTGCACGTTTCTCTGATGGTACCTTGGTTCAGTTCCAGGATGGCGCAGATTACAGTATTAATAGCGATTCTTCCCTCACAATCAACTTTTTGAGTGGACTTAATAATGCATCGCGTTTTTGGTGTCACGTCTTCATGACAGATGTTCCGGAGCGCAACTGCTACTTTGATGTTCATATTGAAGGTATATTAATGTCATAGTTCAAATATAAAACCCCTATATATCAAAAACAATCTACCCAAGTGGATTGCAACAAAGACAGAATTTTCCTCCAACTTGTAGATGACAAGCCTAGTGTTCCCTTTTCACATGACTAACTGAGCGACTCACTGACCAATAGACAGACTGACTGACTGACTGACTCACTCACTCCCCGACTGAGTGACTCAGAGACAGAGTAACTGAGTGAACGTAATGGCGGGATTACTTTCATGGCCAACCCTATTTGTGATACATGATGAAGGAAAAGTCTTGTTATGAATAGTCAGTTGAATGGAATTGTGTGTTCTCTGAGACGAGTTTTACTATGATTGCCTTGTCCTGTTTTTTGTGTTTTTGTCCAGAGGAGAATCCAGCTGACTACCGTCTTCAAGCCTCGGCCGCATCTTTCTACATTGAGGAGGGAAGGTATCAAACCATTCCCTGCATTTTATGGACGCCCGGTGATCACCTATGCATGGTACAGTGGTTTAAAGTCGACACATCGTTAGGTCGACATCTCATCCTCAATTACTCCCTGTCGACTGATGGCACTGACGCCTATCCTGGATTCGGTATCGGTGATGGTTTTGGTCTGTCTATCAAATCCGTTAATGACACCCATACAGGAAAGTATATGTGTATCCTGGACAGCAATTCCACACACGAGGGAACAATCGACGTTCATGTATTCGGTACGCCACGCATAATTATGATTTTAAATAATGCTTTTATGTTGATTGGCAAATACATTACATTTAAATTATACTGTATTTTCATAATCTCGAATAATAGTACTTACCGGTATCTGTATATATTTTGCATATACACTTATAGAGTTTACTTTCATTACATGTGTGCATTTTTGTTTAAATCAGAACAGATTTGATTAAATAATCACCTGAACTATGCACGTATAATCACAAATTAGCGGTTTGTTTTCAAAACCCAGAGTTGTAAATTCAAGTTTCATGCACTATGGTTTGTTCTCATACATTCTTAAAATAGGTGACACATTTCCTCTGGATAACGGGACAGTCATCATGAATATCACTGTAACCTTTGACCCTTCTAAGATACAAGAACTAAATTGTCACTCTGGTACAAATGCCATCGGTATGAATAAGTCAACAGTGATCTGGTCGTATGGCCCGCCAAAAGCGACAACGACCACCATAATTGGATGGCAAAATCTACCAACTGGTACACCGCAAATGTCGCAGCTAGGAGGCAGCGGCTGTTTCGGCATAACATCTGCAGGAAATCTCCTCCTGAACAAGTGTCTCCAAGATTCTGACGTGAGGTACTGGTATCACGTCTTTCCCTACCGTGATGTGTTGCAGAGATCCTACGTTGATGTTATCATCAAAAGTAAGTACACATGAATTAAAACAAAATTTAAGACGAACAATCCTTTAATTGTATTTGAAATTGATTGAAAAGAACAGATGACGGATTTTGTCCACTAATCGACGCACTACGTCTTTAAAAAAGCCCCTTTCAAAGGGTGCCGTCCACTTTTTAGGACAATGCAAGTACAAAGGGTATTCTTGCATTTCACATAGAAAAAACAGACCAGCCCTGAGCTTTGGCAATCTAGCTATGGCAAACACTAATTAATATCAAAATATTTTAATTCAAGGCAACAACCCGCTATTTTTTTGTAATTTATATCGACAGGTGCGACCCAGTATACACCTGCTACACTAGTTATAGTCATCTGTATCTGCTTATCTATGATCGTCATTGTGGCTATTGGTGTGTGCTTGGTGCTGAAATGTCGCAGACGATGCTCGACTGGTGATCAGGAGCAAGGAAGCTACAAAAAGGTTGATAACACAGGTTTGTGACTTTGTTCTCCCTCAGCCGGCCGTCTTTGTTTGACAACAAGAGTAAGTTGTCAAACAAAAATATTTCATGTCACCCTACGCTACTTTCACCATGTTTGAGACAAGATAAGGTTGCGGTAGCACCATGTGATTAAATCTCTTTTGTGAGTATGTGTGGTTCTGAAAAGAACCGGACTCAACGTTTCGAACAGTATGCTTAAGTTGCCCGTCGCCATGTTTTCACACTTGAGTGGCAGCAGCAAACGAGCAGTCGATCAGCTGTTTCGAGCACGCGACATGCATGCGGGTTCACGTTCAATAAATTGTCTTGATTGTTGTTTTTACTGCTGATTGTTTGCGTAATTTGTACATCAAAATCTGAAAAATCCAAGACGGAGGTATAACAAAACAATTATACATCTGGGCGCAAAGCACCCTTCGCTTGGCCTTGAGTGCTTTCCCCCTCTCGCGTGTTCAAAACGTCATACCCACATCACAGCAGTCAACAATTGTTAATTTTATCATGTTAAATGTTAACTTAGCATAAAAAAAACTCGCAATCAACATTTCTTTGTGTTGTTAAAGTGTTCACCGTTAATCTCTCATTGTAATTAGATTCAGAGTTGCACTTCCAAAGACTGGTAGAAGAAGTCAAAAAGTCTATCAGGACAACCGCGTGCAGGCTTCCCACAATGTCATGGCCTTCAGGGGACGATGCTAGCTTCGCTTCGATGGATGATTTATTTACATCGCCAGAATTATTTGGTATCTTGTATATCAAAGGTAGCTCTGTAAAATACAAATTAGAGTCAGTAAACGAAATATTGTCTGATGGCATATCTAAGTTGTCAGGCCATGCTCTTTTGCAGGGGAGAGACGGAAGTGGTAAGACCACCATCCTCTATAAGATGGCTAAGGACTGGGTGGAAAAGAAACACAGTGCTGTTTTACAGCAGGCAGAGTTGGTCTTTGTTTTATCGTGTAGGAACATTCTCCAAACTGAAAGCATTGGAGAGGCAGTTTGGCGTGAAATGCTTCAAAAGCAGAAAGATTTGTCACCAAGTTTGATTAACGATTACTGTGTGGATCACCCGGGCGATGTAGTAATTCTTGTCGACGACTGCAATGACAGAGCTGACGTCAAAAATGCAGTGACAGTCCTAAAACACCAGGGTCTTCTTGGATGTAGAGTGGTTATGACAACAAGGTATGATCAATGGGCAAAGGATATCTGTAAGGAACAGAACTTACGGCATGTTATTACTAGCGGATTTAAACTAGCTGACATACATCAGTACGTTGACAAGGTGTTGACTACCACACCAGCAACAAGTGGCTCTGTGGATTCGAAAGCCCGTGCACGTCTCTCTGAGTATTTGCGTGCAGGTATTTTGCCGCCAAGGTTTGCCTGTCTCCCAGTCATCCTCCGCACTTTTTGTAAGTTTTCAAAGTGGACAAATGGTACAGCCTTCAAAGGTTTGCCAACCATGACCGGTTTATTTACCAGGCTAGTGCGAAGTAGCTTCGTAAAGAGTGAACCAGCTCATAAACTGGATACTCTCAATATGGAAGGAAGCGATCCAAATGGCAAGCGTCAAAAGGAACAACTCGACATAGTGGTCGGGCTTGGCAAGGTTGCCTTCTCGAAGATGTTTGACGGTTCTGAAAATCCTGTTACTTTTACCAAGTCTGATTTTGCGTTTGAATCCGGAAATGGGCAGAACATCCTCGACAGGGGTATGAATGTGGGCCTCATCCGTTGTGATGAGGAGGCAGACTTAGAGTCTGAAAGAAGTGAGGTCCCCGTGTCTAAGACAAAAACTGAGGGTGCGGAATTGATTCCGCGGCGACCTAAGGATGACAAAATCAAGTTTGCTCTGGAGGTCCTACAAGAGTATTGTGCTGGTATGTACATGGCACACACAACGGAAAACATCTCCTCATTGATGAAAGCAATCAAACAAGTTGATGTTCTGAAGACTGTTGACAGGCTGGCCAAAGTGTTTGCTTTTGCCAGTGGGGGAAGTTCGGCTGCTTGTTCTGCACTCGTAAATCATCTAATCAACGAAATCACGTCTAGGGGATCGTTGCAGAATCTTGCAGAAATTTTGCAGTTGCAGAAAATGATCGAATTGTGCCTTCAACTGAACTTTGAAGGTAAATGCGAAGGTTCTTTGGACAAGGAGTTGCGTAAATTGTTTACGTACAATAGGATACGTTTGATCGGAATTTCGAAACACAAGCTGCGGCTTCTGTCGTACCTACTGAAATATACTGAGCAAGCAAGCACAGAAAACAAATCAAATCTGACATCAATTGAGCTGTTCCGGTTTGAGAACCATGACTGGGACGAGCTTCATAAATACCTGGATACCTTTGCTGAAGGTTCCACCAAAAGTATCACATGCGAAAACCTCGGCAACTTGAAGCAAATTTCAAAACAGTCGCTTCTGGAGGAGAAAATGAAAGTAAGTTATAAAAACAAGTCTCTATTTCTCCGTCAGGAGTCTGACGAGGCCACTGCTCTGTCAACCTTGGAGTCTGTTGCTCTGCATGATCTTAGAGAGTCACAGTATGATGACTGTTTGATGTCAACGTCATCGGAAATGCTTGTCCTCTCCCTCTCAGATGTAAAATCGGTTTGTAGCATCATTCTCATAGGAACGATCTTGGGTCCTGGCGACATTTGCCGTTTTGCCAACAGTGCACTTCAAAATCTGCCAAAATTGCAAAAATTAGATTTACGTCTAAATAAAGCGATTGACGATGCTGCATTCTGTACAGTGGTTTGCTCTGTGCCTTACTGCAAATCTCTGATCGACCTCAGGTTGTCACTTTTTAATGTGACAGACGAAGGTTTCTCTCGAGTTAGACATACGATGAGAAAGGAAGACTGGATGAAATTGGAAAGGTTGACGATGCTGTATCTTCTTCACTGCGACCCAAGTGATTCATTCGTGAAATTCCTTACAGACATCCTACGGTACCTTACAAACCTGAAAGTCCTTCACATATCAGGTCGTACTGGTCTTGTGGACAAAGTGTCCAAGTCTGTCCTCGAGGATTTTGAGAAGAGCGTGGAAGACTCAAAGCTGACTGAGAATGTCGAAGAGCTTATTATTGACAAGATGGAGTCCTTAACAGCAGTCACATCAAAAGTTAAGATTCAACAGCAGTCAAGAGGGCATTCAGTCGTCGTGTAGCGTGTACTTCTTCGTAAAAGTACAACACATGCTAAACGTCAAAAGATGGACTTGTGAGGATCCCTAGTTGCAAAGAAGCGTTTTACCATATCGGGACACGCCGAACAGCCGAACCGACATTTTTTTCATGCACGTTGGCCCAGATGTCTTTTCTTTTTCCACATACGTTTTCCTACATACCGATAGTCCGTATACATCAAAAGCAGTTGGTCAATCTGTCATCAAGGAGTCCCAAGAGTGAGAGGAGTGCAATGTTGTTACCGAGGTTAGGAACAAGTTTCACTCACGATGGGCAGTTCTTTGCACATACCCCTTGCATCTAACGTCACATCTGATGACTGGTGTTTGTTCTTTTGCGTTACACATGAGTACACACCTTGCTTTTTTAAAGCAATATCTCACCTCCAGTTGTTGGATTCAACAACCCTCCGCGTGGGGTTTACGTTTTGTCTTCGTACTGCCTGTCTAGGCCAGGGTCTGCTCGTTCCGCACTGAGCGTTCCTGAACACCGGCTCTGGAAGTATATAATTTGCTAGGTTAAATGTCATCATGATGTCGTACAATGCGCGAATCGAAAGACTGTGTGGCGTGCCACTCCTCACACGGACAGTAGGTGTCCGTTGACTCTTAAGGAGTACTTCTGCCTTTTGATAGGTTTGTTTTCAGACCTTCTGGGTGCCTACACACCCTCCTCGCCTAGTTAACCGGAGTGCACCAGGAGGTTTGTGGTCAGAGTTGTCCTTCTCCTAGTCAGTGTTGACATAACTCGTGTAAACGCACGCCATTGTAATTGTTTAAATGTTCATCTCAAGCTACACTAACAATTCTTTTGGCTAATCTTACTAATTTTCTGTTTGCACCAAACTATGGTCGCCTATATCTTTACTATTCATTCTGTGTGGTACTCTAATCATAACTGTTAAGTTTTACAAATTGCTTTTGGAGGACTTTTGAGGTATTTTAATGTTCCAGGAGTCTGATAAAACCTCAGTTGGCCAAAAAAAATATTTAGGCCAAAAAAATAAAATAAGTCGGTCTCTAGTTAGCGTGCGCGTCGATTTGAATTATGCGCGTCAATCTTTTTTTTTCCAATTTTTTTTTTTAATGTTCCGCGGTAGCTCCAACAGCGCCCTTTATTGCCGCACCTCCTCAATTTTTTTTTTACCAAAGGAATAGGAAATTGCACCAAGGCAAATGATCGAGAGCACCAAGGCAAATTATGGAGGACACCAATGTACATGAGGACACCAACAAACCCCAAAATAGTACCCCACCGTGTCTGTACAATCCAAGCTTGAAGAAGAAAAAAAAAAAAAAAAAAAAAAGCTGCGTCGCCGCGTCAATTCCGGAACTTTGGTTTAACCAGAGACCGAATATTATTGTTTGGCCTAAATATAGTCCTTTTCATAAGGCCCGTCTTAAAAAAAAAGGATTTTAAAAATCATAGTGTTTGCCTAACCAGGGTTGGTAATAAAGATTTTGTTTACTACTGTGTTGTTGACAGTTTGTTGAAACAAGTATTCTGTGTAATTTGTTTTGTTCCAAACAGTCAGAATACACACTAAACTGCTTTTGTTTTTAGCAAACAGGTTTTATGGAGTTTAAATCGTGATATTCTTTGAACGGATTGAAACATTTCAGTAAAAGTGGCTTTCCGGTCATTATGTTTGGTGCTACATATTGTTTTATCTATGAAATCTATTGTTTGAGGTTTTTGTTCCGCTTTTTTCTTTACTCATCCTTTACTCGCCCATTACATTGCTTGTAATGTACGTTATTCAGTTTACAACCGTGCATTTTAAATGTTTCCTCTTCTGATTGGAGGGTGATATTCGCGTAGTTGCGTAGGTCACGGCCCGCAATTTTATTCGAATCATTCCTTATTAACAAAATTTTATTCACTGTTGTTTATTACTCATGTCATTTGAACTGTATATCTGCATCTGATTTTTATATATCGTAATATTCAATAATTACTGTGAAAAGTGTGAATTATTTTCAAGTGTAAAATGATTGAACGAAACATTGGTTATTATGAAATTATGAATGAAACATTTGGTAGTTATTACCTGAAAGGTGGAAGTTTGGTTGGTCACCGAATGATGACTTGATGTTTGGCGTGTTTTTCAATTTCAATTTCTAGTACATATTTCACGGTTCGCCAACCCTTTTAGTGGAGATTTTTTTTAAATGTACATTAAACACAATGAATTATCATGTTATTTTCTAGAATGGAGATATGTTATTTAAAAGTAAAATGTGTTAGTACGTTCGAATTTGATATGATTAGTTCTAAGCATGTTGTATATAATGCAAATGTCAAATTTCAATCGATATAGACTGAAATTTACCTTGAGTACAACCATATAAAATGTCACTTGCTTTATTAATTAGATTTTGCAAATACGAAATTTCGAACATATTAAGCCTATTGTGCCGTTGGTAGTTGTAAACGAAGAATTACAGAACAGTTCTCATAGTTTCCATGAAACGTGTCCCAAATAACAAAGCAACAGCAGGTTCATAATAATGTTACTACCTTGGGCAAGTTTTAAGAGATATAAAATTAAATTAAACATGACTTGTATGCATGTGATTATTATTTGAAATGTTCAGGTTCAGATCCATTGGCTGTCTTGTTTGTAGTCAAAATTGTGTTTCTAATATACGAATAAATTACATTGGTAGTTATCTTTAAAAAAATGTACATGTCCATTTCTTCCAGTTCATTTACAAAATATTTGTTTCGACTGACAAGCATTAGGTCACATCAGCGGCTGGAATTAAGCTCACTGCGGTTACGTAAGCGCTGACTGATATTAGTCACATCGCTGTCCGGTCCGTGTGCGCCCTCGCCGAAGTGGCATTCAGCCGGCGTCCGCCCAGAGGCGTAACTATGGTAACAAACTAGGGGTGCGGCAATTTTGTTTTAAGGGGGCACTGGAGGTAACTAATCAATACATTGTTCTTGTGCAACGATATAACATTGTGTGAGGAGCAGGGCATATAGGGGCGGACTTTTGGTTGGCGGGTGGGGGGGGGGCTGCACGTGCATGCTTCCTCCCCGTTGTAACGTCACTGCTTCCACCTCTGGTATCTCAATAGAGAATATGAATCACTTAAGACCAAAGTATACTCTTTGATAATGTAAAATATATATTCACATTATTCCACTCACGATACAGTTACTAGAAAGATCCCATTGTAACGATCTCATAATAAGAAATGGGTCATTAATGACCTCGAACAAAGTAAGATCTACTCTTTGATAAAATGGATATAGGCAGTGTACATAAGAACTGTGAAAGACAAGCACCTACTCAATTATAATCGTTAAAAAAAGATGTTCCTAAGTGTTTTGAAAAAGGCATCTTTTTTAACGAAATGTGTAGAACACTCAAAATTCAACATAAATGTTGGGCTGCTTTACTCATTTGACATTGCCTAGTCTCCTAACCAACCTACATGTTTCGAAGAACACTTTCGCTACAGTACTTCACCAAAGCTTGCATCTTGCATCGGTTTATCAGCGAGTCTTCCAGCATTTACAACTCCTTTTGGCATTATAATTTGCACTAGATCGAGTATCCTTCCTGTTTCAAAATGGGTCATTATGATTACACACTTGACATAGGGGTCACAAGTTTCACGTTCGTTTTGGACACGTTCGTTTTTGACATGCACAAAACATACACTGCAGAT